GTGGTGCCATAGGGGCTGGGGGCACAGGGGGTACCGTGGGTGGGCCCCCAGCTGCTGGGCCTCCCCAGCCCCCCACAGCCCCCCTGACACCACAAACCCAACACACTCCCTGGAGCTGCACAGCCCCAGCTGTGGGCTGAGTGTCCCCAGGTGCTGGCAGGGACCCTCGGTGACCCCTGAAGGGCTCAGACCCCACCAGAGGCAACAGCCAGCTGGGACCAGGGCCAGGGCTGGCAGTGCCACCACAGCTCTGCACTAGGCCCTCTGTGCCCAGCTTCCTCCCTCCCTCACCTGGATGCTGGGAAGCTGGGCCGGAATGTGTGGTTCCCACTGTGCACGTGGCGGCACCCAGCACCATCATCACCTGTGACACATGGACCGGTGACAGGTCAGACGCAGTGTCCCAGCCATCCCCGTGCGCCTGGGCCAGCATTCCCACAGGGATCCCACGGCCCTGCTCCATGTGAGGCTCCACCTGCAGCCCTAGCTGCAGTCCCAGCCACACCTGACGCGAAGAGAATGGTGAGGCCACGCGCAGCTGCCTTCATGAACTCAGCGTTGACGCGCTCCATGTAGGCCAGTGACAGGCTGTCCTCGTCATCCCCATAGCTGACCGAGTGCACCCAGGGCAGTGCTGACATGTTGCTGAGCAGCAGCAGCCAGGCCAGGAAGGGCTCCTGGCTCTCGTGCCGCCCTGTGGGGACAGTGGGGCAGGGACACAGGGACAGTGCAAGGGCACTGCCTCAGGACCACTGCCAGCACTGAGGGATGAAGCCCCCCAGCCCCTGTCGACGTGGCACAGAACCACAGCGTGGCCGGCCTGGAGCTCCATGAGCTCATCCCAGTTACGGTGGATGGCACCAGGCTCCAGCTCAGCCCATGGTGCTGGTGAGACGGTGGCCCTGAACCCCAGGGCAGGGGGCTACATACACCCTCTTCTCTGAGCCTCTACCCCAGGGCTACAGCCACCCAGGCAGCTGTTAGACCCAGCAGGGCTGCAGTCCCCCAGGCAGCCCTGTGCTCCAGCCAGGCCTCAGCTCCTCCCGTGACAGCAAGTCCCAGTCCAGTGACGTATGTGCCACCTCCACACATTCCACCTGCACTTGCCCAGGTCCCTCCCTAACCCCCACCCCTCTCCACTCGGAGGGGGAGAGAGCCCCAGCCTCCCCCTCTCACTCGGTCGCCCACGTCACTGTCCCCACACCCCACAGCAGCAGCTGCGTGGGGGCAGCAGGAGGGACAGCACTGGGCTGCTGTCACTGTCACCGCCAGGGACAGGCGTGGAGTTCCCGGGGCCCTCACCTCGCCTCCTGCTAGGCCAGTTCCCAATCTGGGACAGAACACTGCCCCCAGCATCGTGTCCTGTTTGTGCAGGCTGTTTGGCAATTTGTTTTCCCAAATTCCCTCGCTCTCCCTCATCCGCTCCACTGGGTCACTCGTGGGCGAGAGCTCAGCCCCAGAGGATGGAAAACCCCATGGGAGTGGGGCTGTGCCCTTCTCCGTGGGAGCGGAACTGGGTGGCTGCTCCACATGGTGCCAGCGAGGAAACCCTGCTCTGGGGTACTCTGGGTGCTGAAGGTTCACATGGTTCAAAGTCACTATACAAATCAGGGGTGATTCCCCTACGAGCTGGGAATCCAGTGTCAGTTCCAGCTTGGGGCATGCATAAGGTGTGCTCTGGCAG